CGTCGTCTCGGGAATCGGCCCGAAATGTACAACTAATTCCGAGCGCTGTATTAATGAATAGTTAATATCATATATACATTTTAAAATATCACGTGTTGTGTGATACTAGAATCCTTCTGGAAAGTGTAGTTATAGATATTATTCGATCGAATTATAAAGAAATAAATAAATAAATAAATAAATAATATCTAAGTAAGTAGATACTGCAACATGATAATGCATTATTTTAAATGATTTTAAATTACTTCTCATAGAATCTTGCTCTAACCATTCCCATGAAGATTGAGTAGTATTCACGACATAATTTTTGAATAATGTAATCTCTTGAAGATGATGTAATGTACCGAACTCCTTTGGCAAGAAATTAAACTTACATTTATGTAAAGTTACATTTACTAGGTTCCGAAGCGTATGCATTATCAAAGAATAGTACAAAGGACAATATGAAAATTCTTCTTCAAACCTCGATCTTTTTTCAGTCAAATCTTCATATATAAAAGTATAAAGTCTAGTAAGGCTTGTTTCGATATATAGTAGACGGTCGAATTAAATAAAAAAGTAGTGAAGATATCGTGGAGCAGCAAGCTAAGTTTTGGATTGTGGTACGAGGGATCCCGAGTTCAAAACCCGGTCGGCTCTTTAATTTTTCGACTCCTACACATAAAATGTTATTTTTCTTTTCTGAACGATATCTTTATTTTGTATCGTTGTAAAAATCTAATGCAATTCAAAATTGGTAGGATATTATATGCATTTTAAAATATAAAGTGTTGTGTTATACTGGAACACTTCTGAAAAGTGAAGTTATAGATATTATTCAATCGAACAAAGTTACCTATTTTAATTTTTACTTAAAAAAATTTTATTATTCTATACAAATAAATAATTTCTATACATTTTTACTGTTTCTATTCATAATCTCAAAAGATTTATAAAGAAAATGTTACTTTAATGTCTTTTCAATATGAAAAATATCTATAAAGCATTTGCAGAGACGACGTCTCCTGAATCGGCCCGAAATGTGCAATTAATTCCGAGCGCTGTGGTAGAGTATACACCTATCTTTGAAATTTGACTATTTTTATCAATCTTGGAATATTATAATTCTCGATCAATTGATAGAAATAACAAATAAGATGAGTGTATTTCCTTAATGTTTTATTTTATTAGAAATATGCATTAAAATAAGAAAAATTGAATAGGCTCTTTTATCGAGAGATACGGCGGTGTTTCGTATCAAGCGGTAATACACTAATTGGCAAGTTTTTAATTATAAAGTACTTAAAAAAATCTTTCGTTTCCATATACTTGGAAGCAAATTAAAATTCGTAAATACGCCTTTAATCGCTTTTGAAATAAACTAAATTCGCTTTATCGTCGATTAAAACGTTATTAGATAAGTGCTTATAAAGATCAGATGCGTTGACGGTATGTCAATTTGTCGCGCGTTTAAGCAATACCCAGATAATAATGAAGCAATGCATACGTATATGAGATAAGGTAACGAAGTATCACCGCAGTATGTGTGCATTGCTTCATTGTTATCTTGGTACCACTTAAATGTGCGGCAAAGTTGATCCAATGTACATGCCATTTGTGTGTACTGAGGCTAAGACCATTTGTAACATATCGTAAATTGGAATATAAGACGCTTAAAAGAACGTCTTGCAAATATTTTTTCATAAAACGTTCTATAATTGTTCGAAGCGTCCTTAATACGTATTTTTAGATATTAACAATTTTTTTTAGATTTTTGCGTTTTACCTTCTGTGCCTATACGATACAATGTTAACGTTGGTCAAACTTGATATTTTTTCCTCTTATTTTTTTTTACTTATTTTTTTCCCCTTTCCTCATATTTTTTTCATTTTTTTTCTCCCGTGCGCACTGTTTTTTCTATCGCGTCACATTCTAATCACATGTTCACGTCACACTGAAAAAACCTATAAAAGATAGAAGATGCAACGCAATCGTTCCACGATAGATATCTAATCATAATAGATTTCTGCGAGCGTTTGGGGACCACATGAAATTTGAAGTGTTTTAATTTTTGTGTTCGTAATTAAGATATGCGAGAAATGCTGTTGGTCTCGACCTTGAAAAGAAATTGCAACGGTCAATGTCACAGGGCGACGAGAAGCTTGTCGGGTCGAGCCAAGTGGCCGAACAAGAGGTAGCTATCGAGGAGGACAATGCTCCTTCTCAAGGATATCCACTCTCCGCGATAGAGTCGAGAAAGACAACTGGGAGATCGAGAATGCTAACGCATACACGCCACGCTCACTCGTCGATGAGATTCTCGACCTTGAAGGAAAAGTGCGAAAAATAATAGATGTCTCAAGATTTACCTTGTCCCAAGATTTATACGTTTTGAAGTGATATCATATCACGTATTATCATATAAAATATTGATACAATAAAATAAATAATGTAAAATAATCATGGAAAAATTAGTGACAATTCATCAAAGTATATAAATATATAGAAATGTAAAGAAACTGTTTGTGTATACTTCACAATATTTAAATTAAATACGCTATTAGTACAAAGAAGATATCAATAAATTAAAAGAAAAAAATAAAAAAAATTAATGTTAAATATTATCATAAAAAACAATATAAAGTCAAGATAAAAAATAAGATAAAGAAACAATATTTAATTCTTAATATTTGATTTATATCGCATGTATCTTTTATTGCTTATTTGCTTTTCATTCTAATGTTAATACGTAATTAGATAAGTATGAAGCATAAAGAAAAACTACAGCGTCGGAATTTTGCGTGAAAATAGAGAGGATCCAGGATCGCAACAATATGCCATTAAGGAACAGAGTAACGCCATCTGTTTCTTATGGTCAGAATGACGAAAGTTCTTAAAACGGCAACAGATGGCACACATTCACGTTATAATATACAATGCATTAATGGTGTTTATGGCAGTATGCGTTGCACTGGTGCACCTGCATTCACAAGGACATTTATTTTATTTCATGATATGCACCAATTCTTTTTACGGTTACAAGCATGAAGCATTTGAACCATGTAATTAGCTATATAAAAGAAAAGTTATGTTTCTTACGTATCATAAAGAAATTTGACTACTGAGTTTCAAAAAAACGTACACCATTAATGTATCTGAGTCAATGCTAGTCGACGAATGCTTTATACAGAAAAAACATGGAATTTAGAAAAAATTGGGCTTTAGAAAAACACAACACGTCCCTTTGTCTTTCCTAAAAAGCTTAATTCACAAAGAGCGGCAGTAAATCCAAAAATATTGGAAAGAAATTGTCATTTTTAATAATATTCGAAAAAATAATTTGCCACATTTTTTATGCATTATACTCTAAATGTGTGCAGGTATATAATTATAGCTTTAAATTAAACGCTGAACACCTAACCCCCTATCCTATCGAGAAGAGAGTTCGGACCCCCCTGGTTACAGTCATCTCAAATATAGCTTGTTTGTTATGCGGGTGCTACCAGCAAGTCGTGGTGTCGGCAGCATTAAATACCCTCATTCCATTAATTTTTTCAGATGACACCATTTTGTTTGGTTGAGAACGAATACTCGCACATTTAGATTCGATGTATAATACACAGATTCACTTAATCATCATTTTTAATCTCGTTAATTTTTTCATACTTGTATCGTAATTTTTATAAATACTCTCTCTCTCTCTCTCTCTCTCTCTCTCTTCAAATACTTTCATTATTTTGAAATCAAACATCAAACATTTCCGTTTATGACACAGATTACGAATCTCTAATCGAAGATAATCCGCAGTACCCGAAAGTCTTTAAATGTATCTGTGTCATTTCACGATTCTATATTTATTCCGTATTTACCGCTAGTATGTTATCGAGTAGTTATCAGCGAAGATATGAGCGTAGGCGAGAGGCGAGATCAAGTCGGCATTTTAGTTGGCAAATATTCTATATCCGTACACTCACATCGGAATGTCTCGAAACATAAAGATATCATATTTTGTTGTATAAATGTGAAATACAAAATATTTTTGTTCTTATCATTTTATAACTCTTTCCGGCCCGTTTCTCAAAGCTTTATTTTATATGTGCTTGCCAATTCATTTAAAAAATATTTAATGTTATAAGCAATAATCATGTCAAAACCCTGATTCCATAGATATCATGACTATAATTATATTTATAGACTAATTTTTTATAGATAATTTATATCAGAGCCACTTTGTTCTACTCGATAATAATGTTTAATGTATACGATATATTTCCGCAAATATTTAATCTGCAATTGATAGCAACAAAGAGTACTCACCAATTTTACCATTGGGACTGTATGGATCGTAGCTGCTGGTGCTCATCGGACTTGCGTATCCATTATTGCTGACTTGCTGCTGTTGATGCGTGAGCGGACTGGAGTGCGCTAGAGGAGGCTGCTGTTGCTCCGACAATTGCTGCGAAGCGGTGTAAACCACGTGCTGATTCAAAGAGCTTTGCGGCGATTCAGGACTGTTTGTCGCCAGCCAATCGTCCGATCTAGCTGTCTTATTGCTATTAGCGATACTGGCGAAGAGACCACTTCCTGTGCCGATCGGTCCAGCGGCCACGGCGGTCACCGTCGCGGGCGACGTCGACGTTCCCGCGAGATGGTCCGGCCTTTCTGACTTAACCAGCGTCAAAGATGCGGCACTGGCGACGACGGAAGCGATCGCGCCGACACCTGTAGCAGCGGGGCCGCTATTAGTGGTGTCCATACTCGAATCGCCACTGGTATCCATGTTGGAGGACGTCGTCGTCGTCGTCGTCGTGGTTAACGGATCAACCGTTCCTCTTAGCCGGGATGAGGCTGCCAGGATGACATCCCCCGTAACAACAACCTCCGACCCTTCATTGTATCGCACTGCTACGTTGCCGCTTACTAAACTGGCCACCGTGACAGATCCTCTTCTCGTGATATAACTCAAGTCCTGTCGTCTTTGTTTTCAGCCAACACTTTGGCGCTTCTCGTTTCTATTGTCACTTAATTCTGTGTCTTTCTCATTACTTTACGACAGCGTTTTTAGTGACTAAAAAAATGCCTTTCGATAAATATCGATTATTGGAAGATAAAATTATAATTTCTAATCATTAGATTCAACCGATTTAAAATAGAAATAAAGTAATCACAGCCTCCGCCGTATCTTGACATGTACGAAAATTTGTTGCATATTCATAGTTGAATTGTTGTCCGTTGTTGCCTCAATATATCTGTAACACAAGAGAAATTAATTCCTTAGTGATGTTATTATACGATGTATTTAATAATTGTAATTAAATAACTATAATTAATCGTGATTAGCTACTGATGTTATTATGGCTTAAATTTAAAAAAATACAGTGTGTTTTTTCATAAACTTCTTTACGTCTATTTACAATAATGAATTTACATATATACGATCGCGTGTATAATAATGTTGTTTTTCAAGTTTGCTCGCAATCATATGACGCGACAGTATTTCGATGTCGTAACCATAATAATCTTTGATGGATTATTATGAAGTTCGTTCCTTTCAAAATAAAAATAAAATATTACTAATTGATGTGTACGCCAAGTTTGCGTTTTTATTAATCATAGATGTCAATTAGTATCATTATAAGTTCAAATTTATATTATTTATTTTTATATTAATAATCAAGACGGGTTCAATTCCCGGCTTAGCCACTCGCGCCCTGATATTTTTTCTCTCTTCCTTTCTTTCTAATAATTCCTATCAGTACATACTGATTCTCCATATGTGAGAACAATGTACTAAAATTTTCGTACACTTTAAGTATCTCGAATCAGAGATCGGTGTACAAAAGTTAACTGTCTCACGTAGACTAATAAATTAATTTCTTTAAGAAAAATTAAAATTTCGCACTAACATCTCGCGACGGCTCTCAATGCCTTTCTATTATATTATTTATTAATAATCAAGTTTTACAAACATCTTTGAGATTGTGTCCTTTTCAAATTTCAACAATTTTTAAGGAAAAAAACTTAATCAGGGATATAAAGAAACGAGTAAACAAACAACAAAGTAAACAAGCAGTAGTAGTAGAAGGGAAAGGATAATGAAGAAAGCTAAGAAGTACGAGAAAAGAAAGAAAACAAGGATGAGAGGAGGAGGAGAAGCGAAGAAGAACAAAGTATAAAAAGACAGGAGGAGTAAGAGAGATTACGAGGACGAGGACAAGGACGACGAAGAGAGGGAGGGAGTAGGAGGTGAACCGGGGCGTTGGAGTACTGGGGAGGACGTAAAGGAGGAGAAGGCGGAGCACAGGAGAAGAAAAAAAGTGAGGAAAGGAGGGGGAGGAGACGACTATGACAAAGAAGTAAAAAAAATACGCTTAATTTCAAAGAGATATTGTATCCGCACTGGAAGGTAGTGGTGCATTACTAGAATGATACTTGACAACCGTATAAGTTCGCTGCATCATCGATCGAGTTACCCGTTTTCCATTCCTCCCCTCTCGTCTTTCCTCGTGACAGGATTCAGAGCGGAGGAGAAGCCCAACCTTCGATGCTAACCCTGACCCACCCCATTGGCCGACATGGCAATTCGTTGCCTGTTTTACATTGATATCTAAAATCATGATTCTAATAGATATATCATATCACCACTGCTTTGAGGTTTGCTAACAATTTTTCGTAACTTTAGATATACTGGTTAGTGTAATCAATATCGCGCGTAAGATGTATACGGAGCAATATACGTAGTGACCTGCAAAACTGCGATGATGTGCACAAAATAACTATTAAAATACAAAATATTATTAGAAAATAATTTTTATACAAAATTCAATTTTTAACATTAAAAATATTGTGTCTTTAGTGATACAAGTTTTAAGGATAATGATTATAATGCAACTTAAACATAATCTTAATTTGAAAATTACAAATATTCAATACTGGAAATTACTCTAATTTTCAAAAATAATAATTGAAAAATCATTAAAGTCACAAAAGCTCTCAGAATTTCCAATTTTTATAAAGTAAAAACAGCAAATTTCGTATATTTTGGAATTATTAAAAAAAAAACAATTGTTTTGATACCCTTATAAATACGTGGACCGTGGATTATTGAGTATCTGAAAGCTAGACATTGCGCCACTGAAATTGGAGAACGATGAAAGTGGAAATGAGCGTCGAGGACATTTAGGTCAATGCCTGCCCTCGCTCCAGGGTTCGCATCCCTGTTACGGGCAGCGAGATTCACCTCTCCACTTCGCCCGCGCTCAAGTTCCAGAACGTGCCGAGCCGAATCGAGTCATGTCGAGCCAAGCCGAATCGTTTCCTTTCTCGGTTCTCGACTAATCAACGAAAGAGCCGCTGTACAGGCGTCTCTACGGATCGTCGCAGAATTATCATACAACTTCCGCGCGCTTATTCATGCATTCCGCGAGCAGAACTGCGGTCATGAGCGAGCGTAATATTTCTGGGACTACCAATACATTTACGCATCCAACACATCTATTGGTGGCCCTTTTCTCTCGTCTCACTCTCTCCTGGTAACTAGGGCATCGGATCGATCCTGCAGCAGCGACACAGACGCCATCGCTACTACCACCACTACTACCCTTACTGCCACCACCGCCACCGCCGCCGCTACCATCTCTCTCCCATCATCTCCCACCATCACCGTCGCCACCTCCACCGCATCTACCACCACCACACCACGATACTACTACTATCATCATCGGTTACCAACACTATCAAAATTCGACGACACGAGACTGGCTCGGTGCCTTGATCTGGTTTGCGAGGATATGAGCGAGCGCGGTCCAGATTCCTCTCGCTTGGAAGACTCGAATGGATTTTCAAGTAAAAAAGCACTTTCAACCTTTTGCAGGACGAATAAAAATTATTTCCTTTTTTATACAAAGTTCTTTCAACTTTATCTAAATTGTGGTCGCGAAGTACTCTCGTAAAGCTAACAATTGTAACAATTTTTTTCATGTAAAAACATAGAAAAGAGTTCTAAAAATTGACTATTAATATTTAACAACGTTTAATTAGATTTAATTAAAACTTAAGAAAATTTTTAACTAAAATCTAATCACATGTGATAATTTGAATTTATCTATAAGAGTGTGTATTGTTGTTTCTCTTATAAAGAGATAAGAATTAAATAATTGAAAAAAGCATGCTTCTAAATATAAAGATAAGCGGATGTGTAGAAATTGCATAGCAAAAGTGACACATATTAACCACGTTTTTTTGCATTTTACTATTGCAGAAATCTTATAGTTTTCTAAACAATAAAGAAATCTAAAAAAAAAAAATTATTTTGAAATCTGAACAACTTTTATGAAATGTCTGATTCATTTAGGGCGTTTTTGAATGTCTATCTTTTTCTTTAAATATATGTAATGAAATTATTTCTATTTGTATTATGTAGAAATGAAATACTATGTAGAAACGAAATATTACAATCGCGAAATATTAAGGTAAAACAGATCGAGCGAAGCAGCGACGTTTTCTAAACATTAGTCGGCAGATCAACACAATTGACAAACAATAGACGTCTCTCGATTTGAAAGAAATGCAAACGATTTAGCGAAAACGCGAATATAATCGGCGAACCGAGCACGACCAGGCAGAGTTCTCGTCCGTCGGTTAGCATATCTCTTTGTATTTTATTTTCTTTCTTAAATTCTTAGAATTTTACAAGAACATTATCGCTATCATTCAAGTATCCTTATATTTATAATACACCATGTATATATGTGTATATAATCGTAATTTTCGCGACATTACTCATAGTTTATATAGTTTATATTTCAATGCAAATGAAAATGTATCGCATGTCTTAGAGTTAAAAGCATTTATATGACGGCGCAGTATGGCGCGTTAAGCGTGCGTATGTATATGTGCTGTATATGCCGATTTGACCTAGATACAAAATTTATGTTCGGTTTCTACGGACATACGCGTATAGAATTAACTTTGACAAAAAATTTATGAAAACCCCAAGCATTTCGTAATAAAAGAAATTAAACAATTGTATGATAGATCACAAAATCCAACAATTTCGAACCTTAAACATCTTCCTTACAAGTTCCTCCAAGTTTCCTCCCTCAAAGAAAACCAAACTTGACGAATCTTATATTTACATTAATAATCGGAAAATTAAATAAATATATAACTCATAAGTTGAAAGCTGAAGAACTATCAAACTTTTTTCATTTCTATTTGCTCATCATTTTGCACTCTTCCATAATTATAGATATTGTGTATGCCTATCATTAAAATTCGTACATAATATATATATAATACGAAATATAATATGTATATAATACGAAAGAAAATTGTAAAAGTTGATGAGAAACACCGTAGAGGTTAGCATCATATCTCATATTCGCAACTCGCATCTTTATAAAGTAAATACAAAGCAAATATAGATGGGTAACAATATTATATATATAATTTCGTTTTCCATTATTGTGAGCTACTTCTGCGGAATGTAGCTAAATTTTCTACATTTTTGCAGATATTTTTCAGTCTGTAATGTCAGATATTGCTATGATGATCATCGCTAGGTACCAAAGGAATAAACATCGAAACCGATTTGTTAGCAAGGCGAAGGCGACTGTGCTCTACTTGCAACGCGCATGCACTCTGCGTGTGAAAGTGCGACCAACGACGTAACCATCGTGGCCGACGCCAACGCCGACGCCGATGCCGCCGCCGCCAACGCCGACGCCGACGCTGACCCCGACGCCGACACCGACGCTAACGTCGCCAGGGCAAGAGAGAAATCGATTTCCGCTCCCTCTCGTAGATTCGCTTTCCAGTCAGACCGCAGACTATGCTTACACATCTTGATATGTATAGATGCGAACAGTATTCATAGTCAGAAACAATTATATACTATTTTTAATTTGAGATTGAAAGTATAACTTATTATAGATCAGTAATTTATAAATCATTACTGTGAATCTCATAAATAATTCTTAATTTTGCATTATTTTTTTTTTCTTATTATATATAATATGAAGATTACATAATATGAAAAAGACTACATAATATGAAGATTAATTAAATTAATTGCAAGATTAATAAAATAAAAAGATTTAAGCAATTAAATGCTAAATAATGATAAAATATCATTAGGAAAATAATTTTAAAAATTATAGAAGTAAAAATATTTTTTAGCGGACAGCGTACAGCTAATCGTGTACAAAACAAAACTATCATGTCAGCGAAATGTCAGACAGAGAGAGAC